GCATATGAGGGCCGAACAGTTGCACAAAGCATCAATTCAGTTATAATTATCCATTACAGTTATACAGGAACTGGATAAAAGTGTCACAAAAACTTTGGAGAATTTTGGCGATTTTTCGCCAAATTTGGCGACAAAAATTAGTTTCCGAAACCGTTACCAGCTTGGTGATATTTCGCCAATTTAGCGAGATAGCCATTTACACAATGTTAAATAGACTTATCCCTGTATTCTTATTTTTCCATCATAGCATCCTCCGTCTAGATTTTTTTATGTTACATTAAACACAAAAGTACAAAAATTTCACATGTGATTTCACTAAAATTATCTATCTGTTTACAAAATTTGTAACAATGTATAACAATGTTAGCTGGTTACGTCATGATAACATACTTCAAGAATTTGTTGATTGCTTGGAAGAAATCAGAATGTTTTTACAGAGGGGGGGGGGCTGAACAATATTCACAATTGATAAATGCTACGTCATTTCAAAATTGATGTTTTCTACAACATGTGCAGCATTTAAATTTGAATGTAAAGCGTCAAGATGAAGCGTGCTTAATGAAAATAAATAAATACTTTATAATTTGTATAAAGTCAATTCGGTGTTCAATGGCTTAATGATGTTATTGCGGGGGTAGGGGTTTGCAATAGAATGAATGCACATAATTCCGATGATAGGTTGATAAAATTGAAACTAAGTAATAAAGAATCTGCATGAAGGTTTCTCGCATTGTGAAGAAACAGCGGTATCTAGAGCCATCAAATTTTGAACAACTAGTCCCCCAACCGAACATAGCCACTTGGAAGCCCGAATTTTGAAATTCGAATTTGTTTTATTATGTATTCAAAATTTTGTGAAACGTTAACGAATTTTTTATTTCATTCTGTCTCTATATAATTTTTTCCTTGTTATGGACGAATTTTTGTGTTTATTTTAATCGGTTGACAGTTTTTTCATTGTTATGTAGTACTTGTAATTCTTGAATAAATGGACTCCGAAATTGTAAAAGTTATTTAAGAGAGACCGAAGTCGTTTGCTATTGAAGTGTATCAAATTTTGACGACAAACGTTTAAAGCCAAATATGCAAGGCTTCGTGATTTTTAGCCAACTTCGGGACATATTTTAAATTTCATAAAACACATTTCTCGAAATGCTAGGAAAAATCTTTTTAGAATGTTCTAATACATTTCTATTCTTGGCATTAGTAGAAATAAGAGATTGGAAAGAGTTTAATCTGACTTGGTTTAAGGGCTGTAGAATTTTAAAATTCATTTATTATTAACCTTTGCTCTACGAACGATTTTGCAATGTGTTGCTTGTTTACTACGACGATAATTCTGCTGGAGTGATTCTGGAAATTTTAGTATGCGAGATTTTATTTTCAATCAGTCTCGGTATTTTATTGCCAAACTAATTACATTCATTTGCACTATCAGCAGAATTTCAGAGCTCTCTTTCTGTTCTTCTTGTGGTATATTTAGCTAATTATCCTCATGTGTTAAAGCTGCAATAAAAATTAAAGTTTCTTTTTCTTTTTAGTCCAAAGGGGCTATTTGGCCAGCATTATGCGCCGAGAAAGCTGATAGTATTTCCCCTTTTGTAATAATGTTGTAATGTTACTATTTAATTAACTAAGAAAGCTTATGTTAAGTACCAAAAAAAATCCTAACGAAATAAACAAAAACGCCTGTACCCCTTTAATTCAGAGGCGCACTTATAGAGAGCCGTGATTCCCACTTTGTTTATTTCAATAAATCTATCAAAACCAGAAGCACAAAACAGAAACTAATGCCAGTACATGAAGGTCAAAATGCCATAAGAATTAGCCCATGTGAAAACAGTTAGCACTTAGCTCCATCTACTGGCTTTTAAAAATTCAAATAAATAATCGTTCCGTTTAAATGTCGCGTATACGCAACGCCGGGCTAGTAGGATTGGAATCGTTGCGTCATGTATACGCGACTCTGGTCCTGAACGGGCTAAATTCTAAAACGTTGTCATACCTAAATTTTTTTGCTCGATGTTTTTCTAAATTCTACATATTTTGCTACATAAGTGCGGCCGCACCACTTTCACCTGTTCCGGTTAGCGTAATGGCAGACCGCACATTGAGTTGAACAGTATAAGTGAATTTCGCTTACTGCGCTTGCTTGGTGGTGTACCTTTGGCGCGGGAAGAAATATTGGCGACTAAGTAACCCTACGCTAGCTTATTGGTGATCTCCTTGACTGTCGAGTGTGTTCGAGTGATCGTATGTGTGAATGAGTGTCTACTATAAATTAAGTATAAATCTTACTCTGAACTACTTAGTATACTTAAGCACTAATTTTTGCATTTTCTTAATTCATATATTTAATTAGCATTATTACAAAATTAAATAATGTCTGTAATAATTGTAATTGAAAAAATTGTATTTGAAATTTCTCCTCTTTCATAATAACCACAATTGCCTAGTGCATATTCATTAGCAAAGCATACAATTAAGTGCTTCACAGTATTATTAACATTTACTTACATCTCAGACATTTACTTGCATCTCAGACATTTACTTACATCTTAACATTCCACTTCCAGAAACAACGGTCAAAATTTTTCAGCTGCCATTCACTGTGCCAATGCCTAAAATTAAAATCATTTTATAAAAGTCATCTTTAAAAGGATGATTCAAGTATTGAAAAACCTTAGATCATAACTTGGTCATACACACAAAATATAGTATTATTTTTATACCAATAAAATGATATGTTGTTCAGTGCTGACTGAATTATTTAACAACACGAGAGTGTCAATGGTTGTGAAATCACATCATAATAATAAGAAAATTTATAAAAAATGAAATAAGACGTTATTGTATTTAAATTTTACTAAGAATGATTATCTACTAACTGTAATTCATATATTCATCTCTGGTACACACTTTCCTCAAATTATCTTTGGCTACTATAGCCTGTATAGTCAGCGTGACAGATACAAGCAAATGATGATTTACAGTCATAATTGTTATCTTGCCTTCCTGCTACATGTGTGCAGTACATGTACATGTTTTCCTATAACTTTCATGATGGCATACAGACTTTTCACTGCAGAAATATACAATTTTATGAAGAACTAATTTGCAATAATATATAGCACGCATGAAAACAATCCAAGCATACTTTGTAATATTTAAGTGCAATGTTATGTAATCATTGACGAAAAATTACGTACATCAATATATACTTTATTGTTGACTTTAATATTACTTTAGGATTATTAAAAATTATCATCAACTCCTACATGCTGTACAATCATCTGCCTTTTAAAAATAGAACTTGTTACATTTAATATTTCATCAGGCTTTCCTATTGAATAGAATTCATTGCATTGCGAGTTCATTACATTATTTTATATCATATTAACTTCAACCAAAACATTTCAGCATATTTTGAGATAAAAGACCAAGTACTTTGCACCAATTTTAGCTGTGATAAAATTACGCTGTAAATACTAATAGTTTTCTTTTTGAAGTTTCTTGAAAATGATGTTTCTTTTCGAAAGAATTAGAACAGTAAGGAAACAAATCATTCCTTAAAACTTTTTTCTTAATGTTACATTATATAGAAATTTAGGAAATGTTAAAAAAAAGTTAATGAACTGTATGTGTGTTAAGAAAGATGTTACTGTGACATAATACATAAACATACTTATAAATAACATATCAAATTTACTGAAATGGGAAAATATATACATACCTGAAAGCAATCTTGCAATAGCATTTGGTTTTAAGCTCTTGCGCTATCCCAGTGGGCATTTGTATTTACGCTGACTTCCTTTAACCATTTTTTGCACTCTTCAATCGAATTTATACTTGATCGTATCATTCAGGTTTCCAGTTGTTGGAGCAGTACAGGAAAATATATATATATATATATCGTATTTTACACAGTAAAACATTATACATTTAGATTACACTGTAGGAAGATTTAAACGGTAAATTTGTTTACAATCAGATGGCGGTACATCTACCATATACCGTACTTATCTTCTTTTCAAATCGCGCCAACATAGTAATTACGCCAAATTTTTTTCTGAGCATGCGCAGTATGCGACATTCATTTAACACTGTTCAACTCAATGTGCGGTTTGCCATTACGCTTCCGCTTATGTTCGCATTTAACCTTTTTTAATTTTTCTAATTTTTCTTGCGAGCGCTATAATTTGCATAACATTATGATTTGAGTGAATATATGTGATATGAATCAAAGAGAAGATAGGACAATGGCTAAATTAAGCTTAACAGTTAGCAAAACTGAATATAATTGGCACCATATCATTTATAAAATATACATAGTTACTTTCCTATGCTTCTTAATTTTGTGCCGAATGTATTTTATGCTATCTTTATGAATATTTTGATTTTCCAATAGAGCAAATTCTACACTGGGATATTATTTTTACAATATTTTCACACCCAGCATATTCACGAAAGCTGTTTCACCATTTATTTGTCGTTAAAATTGCTTTTAAGCAAAATCAGAGTATTTTTAAGTGTCTCCGGTTTCGAAGGTGTAAAAAAATAATTGAAATTGTTGAAAATTTTTAGAGCTTTTTCAAGCGAACTATCATTTTTTTCCTGGGAAAAAAAAACCGCAGACCTTCAGACGAATATTATCAAATTTAGTGCTGCAGGCAATTAATTGATTGTTCAATCGAGAAATCGTTGTCTCCTAAATTAGAAATTAAATGATAGATATGGCTGTCATAAAACTGCCGAAATTATTGCATATATAAAGTCTTATATTATTGCATATCAAGTCTCGTGACAACCAACATAGTTATTATCATCGTTGCTAATTTAAAGCAGATGCGTTGCTTTAATTGTTGCCTTTTAAAACTGGTTAAAAATATAGCTGCATGACATCGATACGAATGTAGCATTTTAATCTTAATCCCGCATTTTCTTACAGAAGTGAAGCTCGTTATATACATTTTTCGAGAAGAAATCAAATGAATATTTTACCAGAATGAAGTTTTGCTAGTAAATATATGCAGAAGCGAAAAATATTATAAAGAATTACTAAATAAAGTAAGTATATTCCCCCGATTTTATTTTTAAGACTTATTAACTGTATAGGTTTTATTGTGATCAGGTATAAATTATATATTTCATTCTTCTTTGAAAATGGTTCTTTACAACTGAGATTTAAATCTTTGTTTATACGATGGAAATTTAAATTTATATTGCGTTATTATGCATTTGATTTATTGACATAGGAAATATAGCATAAAGAATTTTCAAGCTTATTAATTTTATTTAAAATATGTTATTTTGGTTAATCTTTAGCTGAGGGTATGAGTTTGGAGACAATTGTAAAGGCAATAATCAACTAAATATGGTACCTTATGGTCTTAAAACAGTCACCAATAATGTCCACCTATCATCAGTGTTTATCAAAGCCAGCTTTAAACCCTCAACTGTATAGTAACTCTAAAAGAACTTTCATATTAAGGCAGCCACTTCAGAAGCCATTGGCTACATCTGAAATTTGCGCATTGTAGACTATAGTATTTTGGCATTCCCTGTTCCGAGCACTTAAGCTCACTACCGGTCCACTCTCCCTTTGGACACGTCGTGGAGGTTCAACCTCCACTATTGCCCTCCAGGAGAGCAGCGCACCACCTGGAGATTGGCCCCAGGCAGCACCGGTCGTCTAATGCTCCTACCAATCGCTTGGGCGAGCCCGTCGCAGCGGGACATTACCCAGCGACCCCGAGGGTTACCCCCCGGGTTACTAGTACCACGCCGCGCTAGGACGTGCCAGACTCCGGGGCCGGCCAATAAGTGACATTTCCCAGAGCCTTCAGAACCACCAAGTTCATAAATTTTATACCCCCGTGGGCGAGACTGCCTAGGTACAGATCCTAGCCAGTAGCTTCGCAGAATTCTCTACGTCGACCCCCGGGGGGTATTGTAGACGACTGAACGGTAAAGAGTACTTAGGTGTTAGCGCAACCATCTTGGCGCAGTCTGGGAACTTTTACAAAAGAAAAAGGTGAATTTTCAGGCTACAACGGATTTTTTACCTAAAAAACTATTATAAGCATGGTTGCAAGAGTTTAGCGATTTCTGAAAATCTCGCGACTTCTACTAAGGTAGTGCGATATTTTTTTGAGTAACTAATATTGTCATTTATCCTTCATTTTTTTTATCTTGTATTACATAGTTAGTGTCAAAGGTCTCCGTAATTTAACAAAACAATTTTTCTGATTTTTGAATATTTTCTAATTTAATTTTCCTCTGAATATATATTTAGCTTTTTTGAAACAAAAAGGTAGGATAGAAACAAATGCGGCTACGTCAAACATCCCGGAATAAATATGGAAAAGACCAATAAATAATTTCAATTTTAACCTAGATAGAAATTTTAAAAAAAAACTCGAAATTTAAAGAAAACGAAAAACAAATGATTTAATTTGTATTAAGCTTCATATATTCAATGCGCCATTTTCCGTTATTTAATGTTCTGACCATTATATAATAACTGTATATAAATTTGTAGAAAAAGTACAATAAAAGTAGAACAGGCCGATAGTACGTTACTTTACACATGAAAATGTTTGAATTACATAATATTTTGCATTATTCCTTCAAAAATATATTTCATGAATAAATTTCATCTCCAACTAAAGTGACGCTTACAATTAGTAACATCGAGTTAAAAAATAATGCTGCCAAAAAGCATGGTTTAGCAAATACACAGTCACTTTAAAGTCCTCTAAATTCATGTAAATTTTTGATATAGTTTGTAAATCATAGGTTGTGCTAACCTTTTTGCTTTTATAAAAAATATAGTTTGTTAAAACTGCATGAAAAATTTAAAATGCACTTTTTAACAAGAATTTAAATCTCTAGAACGAGTTAGTAATATAAATGATACATTTTCAGTTTATCATTTATATATCACGTTCCAGTTCTAACCCCCAATGATAAATTATCAGTTTGATCGTTGCTTAATGTTAGATGATCCTAGAACTAGTATTTTTTTTAATCCACCAGTCATCACCACACTAAAATAGTGGATGGCCGTTCTGTATTCGGTTCCCGGTGAATTCGCGAGTGACTACTGCTTGCATGTCATTTCACGTTTCTCATCATAACTAACATCAGTAGGAGCTAGTTTTAAAGACTTCCATGAATATATCCTCCTTCAGGTATCTATAGGTGCAGTGTTGTAATCAATAAACAAAGAAAACTGACCGGTTTCCGATTTCGACAAGTGGACTACATCCCGCCAGTTACAGCAAACTTGAATTTTTTATTTATTAACTTTTTCATTCATTGTGAGATTTTGATCGAGCTTAGAATTTTCTTTCTGAGGATAGAAAGAGGAATTCTCCATCCCCCCCCCCAACAGATCTAACAAGTATCCAGGGTTTGTCCTTTTGCACTCGGTTGTCTCCTCTGAGGTGACGTAGTAAGTGTAGCATACCGTTCGGAGGTAATTTCTCACCGTATATTAAAATGATTATGGAAGAAAATCATATGTCAACGCAACGTTTTGAACGTTTGCTTTTACTTGAAAGCTTTCCGTTGAAATGACATAAAAGAATTAAAACATAATTTATGTACCAAGATTTGATCTCAAAATATCTTTATCAAAAATTGAGAAATATAAAACACCAAGTACAGTTAAAATAATTAAAAAAGCAATTTTTAAAATTAAATTAGAGTTTCTGTGCAAAAACAAGCAATGCGGCAGCGGACAAGAAGGTAGATTTTTCGGTCCAAAAAAGTGAAAGTTTATTTTGGGTCCTACTCGATAAAAAGACTCTGAAGTTGTAGAAGCTGACTTAATTCATTATTCTGCTTAGTGTCAAATGTAAACGAGCATAGCTGCTACGGTAAAAAGGATAGGCTTAGCCGAACGTAAACAACATTTAAATTGTTGATAATTTTACAACCATTGCATGCAGTTTAACTAAAGGCATAAAAGCTTTAACCGGAAGATAACAACACATGTATAAAATATATTTATTTATACTCTTTGGTACTATAAAGTACTATATAACTTGGAAAAACAGAGTTATAGCCTAAAGTAAAGTCAAAGAGGTTAGAAGTCAAAGACTGCAGCCTAAAATAAATAGACCTTGAAAAGCTGAACGAAGTTCTTGTTGAAAAGCTGAAACTGCATAGGTCAACCATCTCAGCAAAGTTTTGCATATTTTGATAAATTTTATTTTGGGATTGCGTAATTCGTAATCTGCATTTCAGCGAATAATTGCCTTCGAGTTGTTAATAGGTCACCCTCAGTAGGCTCCGACTGCAAAGGGTGAAAGAATACAACACGTAATACTGAACTTAAATTTAATTTGGCAACCATGGGATGTTAATAAATACTTTGGTTTTTCTTCTGTTACTAAAGTGTGTTAGTTCATTTCAAATGAAACACTGTTTTGTAAATTAACAAATCCCGAACTAATCCCAGTACGTTTTACAATATATCTAAGTCATTAACTTCGTGGCCGCTGCCTGAAACGATTATGTCACGCTTCGCATGAAAAATGCTATGATTATGGATTATCTTAATGTTTATCGATTCTTTTTTTCTTTTTCGGAATAACTGGCTGCTTAACAAAAACTGATACTGACAATCAAGAAACTAAATTTCTGGAAAAGGATTCTGCATTTTTAATTTCTTACTTTTTACTTCCTTGTACGAAGTAAAAAGGAAGTATTGTAATAGCGAAAATTTTCAGGCATCATATTTCATCGAAAATATCCATTTTGACCGCTATCGAATGCAATTTAATGATGTTTCTGAGTGATATCTGTACGTAAGGAGCGAATAAAGGACGCTTTTCCTCCAAAAAAATTATAAAACTGCGTTAAAATGAATTCTGAAGAGAATATTTCGTGGCGTCTGCACATACGTATCTCGCATAACTCAAAAACGAGTAGCCTCAGAACGTTTTTTATAACATGTAGATGTGCACGTCGTATTTTGGTTGCAATCGGCCGCACCAAACGTATATAAATGTATGTACATATATATATATATATATCCGCTCTGTTAATAGGCTCAGTTTCTTTACTCTTATATGTTTGTAACAGTAGAATTATGAACAGTTTAAAAGTTGTTTAAGTGGTACTAACCCTAACGAAGCTGCCATTTATTTACTTTTGAAACACTTAGTAAACCAGTGAATTAAGTCAGTTTGTGCACCAATTTCAGTGTCTTTTTGTCGAGTGGGACGAAAACTAAACTTTCAGTTTTATGCACCGAAAAATCTGTCTTCCTGCCCGTCAGCTGAATTGCTTGTTTTTGCGTGGAAACTCTAATTTTAATTGTAAATCTTTTTTTTTTTTAACTGCATTTGGTGTTTTAGGTTTTTCTGTACTTTACAATTTTTTAATGAAGATGTTTTGAGATTTTATGTATGCGCGAAGTGAGAACTGAATTAATTGAATGTGAAACATATCTCTATGAAATTCAAGGAAATAATAATAAATGAAATACAGCAAAAATGTGTATAGTTTAATATTCCGTACATGGAAGTCATGTGGTGTTCACAACAGATTTTTTAATAAAGCAATAAAACATTTTTGAAAGAGCAATTAAATACTATACCAAACACAATGTTGTTGCTTTAGCTAATTTTTAAGTTACCTTCTAATAGTTTATTCCAGAACACATTTTCCTTGCTAATTTTAAAATTAAACCTAAATACAAATTAATATTTTCCAGAAAAGGAGGAAATGAATCCAGCTAGTCTAAATAAAACCACAGAATTCTGGATTTCAAAAGTATTAGAGAACAAGACAAAGAATGAGACGGAAATTTACGAAGAGAATACTCATGCATTTATGAATTCCGTGGAATTAGTCTGCGTTATTCTGCTTGCCGGAGGTTAGTGATAATTGATTCATGTTAAATTTCTTCTCTTTCATATAATTTCCATACTGCAGCTTCAATTAAGAAAAAAATTATGGTACTTTTCTGTTTCGCCGGCGCAAATCTCGCCAAGCAGACTTTATTGGCGACAACATACATTATACACACAAAAAATATTAAAAAAATGTTAGTCCTAAGATTTTTTTTTTTTTTGAAGGTATAAACATTTTAATATCGCTTAAAATTTTATAAAAAGCCAATAAATAAAGACAATAAATTTATAAAAAGACATTAATTTAAGAATTTACTATGCTTTCATGGTTCAACATCCTGTTTCGCCGGTTCATATCACGTGACCCCAAGCGATCTCATCTCATGTATACTACTCTACAAAAGTATAATGCTCTCAGTAATTATCTACATTAATTTCAAGTTAAATCTTAATTTGGAACACAAGTTTAAATGCAAGAAAAGAAATACTTCAATTCGTACGAATAGCTTACTCAGAAAAATTATGTAAAACTGCAGTGCTTTACTTCGCTAATGCATTCTCATTAGAATTGATGAATTTAACCCTTGACTTTACCTTTTCTATATTTTCGGCTTCGGGTAAGCGCTGTGATTGCATCCTAATTGATTTAATTTCCGAAAATGGCTTTAGACATAAAACTGAACTATCTGAATGAGGCGTAAAAGGTTACCAGCGAGAATATTCCGTTTGGCATCGGTTGTACCATTATTGGCGACTTTATCGCTTGCGCTGGCAAAACGGAAAAGTACCAAAATTATTTTTGTAAGTTTTTGATAACTATTGATAGCAGTGCAAACAGGATCAGGATTTCTTAACAAATAGTATGTATTTTTCTAATCTCATATTTTTAGAAACTTCAGCAAATAATTTTTCCTTTTTTCCCAGAATGTTCCATTTCTCTTTTCAACAAACATAGCAGAAACCCTTGTTTTTATCAATAACAATTCTTTTTGAAGCCTGAATAGCGAACGCATCCCCGGCATTACCCATAGCAGCCTCTTTGCCAGCATTTAGCCTTCTCATTGCCTTTAACACATAACACAAATATGGGTGCTAGAAAAATGATAACAGTTATCAGGAAAGAAATGGTAGGCAGCTATCTATCTAATGGTAATTTTCCCTTATGAACTTGCCACACATTTTGGTTGTCCTTTTTAATTGCGAACAATTTCTAGCTATGAGAATTGTGTATAGATGCACATATACACGTATAACTATAACCCAAAAGGCACTATCATTCTGTCTCGAGTGCGTTTGGCTTCTCTTTCTCAGGCGCCAAAAAGGCATGGCAGGTGCATAAGGGAAAGGTACCCATCTAATTCACCATATTTCTCAACGTTGCTTCCATTTTTTAAGAGTTTTCGTAATAATTTTATGTATTTTCTGATATTTAAAATAAATGTTTATGTATGAAAATGGGTTTGTTTTCTTGACACCCACACTATTGTATACTAATAATTTTTTGGCTCATTTGAGATACTTAGTTTAACAAGACTATCACAGATGCATTTTCTGCTCTAATACCTATGTTTCTTGCAGTGCTTCTTCGAGAGACGATGAAGAAATTTCATTTTCCTTATACTATTCTTCTGTTTGTATTTGGTTGCGTATTGGGCATTTTCGACCTCAAATTCCCAGCTTTCCATAGCTACACGACGATTGCCAAAACAGGAATCTTGATGAACTTATTACTACCAGCTATAATTTACCAGTCTGCATATGGAGTAGAACCGCATATGTTCTACATGGCTCTTACTCAAATCCTGATTTTGGCTGTACCAGGGCTCGGTAAGTATTAAATGTATGTTTTGAATGTATAAAGTCTGTGTCTCTTTTGTAAACATAAACGTTTAAAGGTCTTTGAAGAATTAATTATCTTAAGTCCTTCTGAAACTAAACACAGATCAGAAGAAGGATGTTTAAGACCCTTTATTCAATCATAAAATTAGCACATGCCCCAACTTGGGTTACAAGAAGCCAACACTTATGGCTTTAACAGAAATACGTAATAAATACAAATTTATGTGTAGGTTAGCCTAACGGCTCACAGAATACTTTAACGCGCAGGAAGAGCTTTGGTTTGTAGTAAACCAGCTAGACAAAGCCAAATGGCTAGAACATTCAACGCCGCTAACGTAAGTCTCTAATAATCACAGCACAACGTGGCCTGGAATAAGCAGACACGCTCTAAAACTAACTCCAACTTCCACTGTATGCCGAGATTAGCATGAAGTTCATGCTATGTTCCGGCTGTCAGAACTACCGTATGCCATAGAAGGGTGCTTCAAGTAGAATGAGTGCAGTACAGTAAGTCCAGGATCGAAGATGTCTAAAACTAACTTTCGAAGCTCTTGCTTAAATAGCACTTCATTCTACCTTAATCTGAATAAACTCTCACTGTCTCATTTGCATTCTGTGAGTGTGAAAAGTGAGGGTGAAAAGAGAGTACTAGGAAAATGCTAAATTAAAATTACTATTAGTTAAAAATAAATAGATAAACCTCACAAATGTTTCTAGTCAATAAGAGCTTGTTCATATCTGGACAAATAAAAAAATTTATACCTAGTATTTGTAACCATCAGTTCTAAGTTATTGTAATAAAATTATTTTAAATAACTAATTTAAAATTTAAATGAGAGTATAAGTGATACACATAATTCAACAGATTAAGGGCACTGGCAGTCAAGGACTCTGTCACCATAATTATTCTATTGCGATTATGGAATAATCTAATAGAATCTAATTCAAGGACACATAAGCAATAAAAACTAATAAATACATCTGAAATGTTATAAACTGACTACCAATAAGTATTTGGACACCTCTGATAGAAAAGAAAAACTAACTTTATTCAAAATCAATAGTTGGTAGAGCCTCCACGAGAGGTAATTACAGCGTGGACCCTCCGGGGCATGCTTTCCACAAGTCTTTGTATGACAGCTAGTGGTATTTTCTTCCACTCGGCTTGGAGAAGACATAGAAGTTCCTTCACCGATTTTGCACGGGTAGTGCACCCCTGAATTCGGCGATGCAACTCGTCCCAGAGGTTCTCGATAGGGTCCATTCGATGAACTCCATTGGCACCATACCAAGTCTTGGTTAACGTCGAAACATGGCAACTGGCATTGTCGTCCTGAAAGTAACAGGGGTCCAACCTGTAAAACTGCCACAACGTAGGAAGCACATTGTCATCCAAAATAGTGCAGTAGGCATCGGAGTTGAGCTTACCATGAATGGGGACCAAGGGTCCCAGCCCATACCAGGAGAAACCACCCCAGACCATAATTCCACCTCCGCCGAACTTGACTGTTGGCACAATGCATTCTGGCAAGAGACGTTCTCCAGGTAGATGCCAGACCCAGACCCTGCCATCCGAACGGTAAAGGGTGAACCTTGATTCGTCACTCCAAAGAACCCGTTTCCACTGATCTACGGTCCAATTTCGATGGGCTTCGCACCACATTAACCGAGCAGCGCAGTTGGACTTTGTGATCAAAGGCTTATGGGCAGCAGCACGACCATGAAACAAACCCAAGCAGATGTGCTTCCTTACGGATGGTATTTATTGAAACAATACTTCCGGATGCCTGTTGAAACTCCTCGCGGATGAGAGCCATCGGTTGGGTGCGGTTCTTCCGAATTTCTCTGGACAGCACTCGTCGGTCTCTATCTCCCAGTTTCGTTGGTCTGCCGACTCGGGGCACATTCCGACAATAACCGCTCACCTTCCACTTCTTAATCACATAGGCCACTGTCGATTTTGGGTACTTCAGATGGCTAGATATGTCCCTTAAGGATCGGCCACATTTGTGATACCCGATAATTATACCTTTCTCGAAATCAGAGAGCTCCGAACTGAGAGGTATCTTGCATGCGACTAAAGCCGATGCTGTTTCCTACACGATATAGACCGGCGGAATCCGTGACGTACCTGAGGACCGCAGATATCGTCATTTGCATAGGTGTCCAAATACTTATTGGTAGTCAGTGTATATTAATCCAGGCAAATTTATTCGCTTGACCATTTTCAAGAAATACGGCTTTTTTATAGTGTATTTTATATATGTTAATTCAATTGGCTTTTGGACTTCTTCATCGCTTTATGCCATTCTAAATGCCTTTACATGCAAATAACCGCGAAATGTTATTTCCATTCAAAATGAAAGATCACCAAAAGCTATTCTGAATTTTCCTAGATTGCTGACAGTTGCGAGATTATGCTTTTTAATTAGTGTTGTGGGCAACTGAATATGTAAGCAAATACTTAATTATGCGTATTAATAAATGAAACAAATAAGTATAATAACAATTTGATTAATTTTTAATAATGAAATACTTAAATTCTAATATACCAATGTATTCAGTGCAGCCTCATTAATCCTGCTTATTCCACGGCAGTTACAGTTTAGATATTGTTACGAGAGGAAGAAAGCAGCGTCTTAGCAAGAGCACAGGTAGAAGCAAAATGCCTTATATTCAGTATGAAATCTTAATTCAGAATGAGTTGGTTTCGATTTCAATGCATTTAAATGGATAATTAATAAAGCTGTAAAATTGTTATTAGTTTCAGTTACGTCATCAACGTTATATGGAAGTAATACGATATGGATTAGTCTCGATATGACACAGTTCAGAAAACGTTATTTCTACTTTTAGAATAGCAAAGTGAAATACCTAAAATTAAAATTAAGAGGCTATTGCTAATTTAAATTATAATTCGCATTGACATACTTTATATCTGACACATATACATTGAAAGAAAAATTAAAATTATATAGCTATTTTTAATATTCCTAATTTTAACTCAAGCTTTGCCAAATCAAGTTACATTTTTAGTCTTCCAATTTTATGAATTTTTTTTTTCAGTCTTAGGAAGTAGAATAGAATTTATTTGTAGGTTTCTACGGCTTTATATATATATATATATATAATATATATGTCTATGTGTTTATATATATTTGTAATAATAAAATTCCATAGTCAAGAATACACTTAAAATTCTAACTGTATGTTCTTTTCATTTTTAATGGCGACGTTCTGTTATTTGAAAGTACGTGGAATTAAATTCACAGCCCTGTAGTCAAGTTGTTTTTCATGCTTTTTCTACACGTACAGTTATAGAATGTTCTCGAGATATTTCAAGCGAACTGGATTGGCTGACGAGGCTGACGTCATTTCATGGAAGCTCCGCCTTTCCAGAGGCTATAAAAAGACTCGCAAAAGGAATATCGGGGCTTTTTCTTAAATGTCACGAAGCAGTAAACTTCATACAAAAAGTTATTAGTAATTCTTTTATTTACTCCGGATATCTGATTTTCGTAACTGCTATTTTCTCCTGAATAATAAATAATGGATCCTGTTTTTTAAACTTATCGTCTGATTATTTAAGCTGCGACTACATTTATGATTCTTCAGCATTCTATTTATTCCGGACAAAAGCTGGTACATCACATATATATATATGTCTATGACTATATGTTTCTCTCTTTATATATATATATATCTGTGTGTGTAATAAAAGCAAGATTTAGAAGTACTGATGTAAAACCACTGAGACGTAGAAGCCTAGCAATGTTGTTTGGTGTAGATACGTGATGTTTAGAGCGTCGATCCATTTTGAAGTAAAAGAAGTCGAGCCGGATTAAATTCCACATTTACGTGAATTCATATTTGTGGCCACAGTTCACTTTGTACTCTAGTTGAACCTATTCAAGAGCATTTACATTTTTTTTATTATTGCGACAGGAATCGAGCACAAAGAAACAGCGACCAGGCAGTACAGAAGTTCAAGCTGAAAGTTCGCATGTATCCAATATAGCAGTCTGTTAAGAGAAAGGTTTTGGTTTAAGGCGTCAGGTCTCAGAGTTTAGGTTCCCAATTAACTGTATACGAGCCAGTTAAAAAGTTCCAAAGACATTTTAACAGATATCGAACGTAACCTAATAAACAAAAAAACCCAAAACTAATCAGTTACGCAAACTGGATGGATATGTGGCGTTCCGACAGATACTTCAACTTCTATTCATGAGATGGCGCCACGTGTGTAAAATCCAGTTCTTAATCGGAGCAGCAAAGCGACATCTTTACTCACTCAGACTTCTCGTCACACAACTGTACGCGACGGTAGCATGAACTGTGTTCCGAGCTCTGTGTTGATCTCTGCAATGTAATTTAAATTGTAATTTAGTACTTAATATATTCTTTTGTTATAGGAGATTGTCTACTCTTATTTTCTTTAATTATATCATGCATTAAGCACACACGACCACCAAAAGTGGTGACCTTTTGACTGAGCACGCTACTGACAATGGATTTTCAACGACCCTAAGCCACGTGCATCCAAGGCATTCTGAAGAACTGACTAAAAATAACAACGAATATGGACATTAAACGTATGCTACAACGTACCCCTTCAATTATTTCTAGAAGTATTGATATATATTGCTTGTGTTTTTTTTCATAGTCGTGCATATCATCGCAAGGAGCTTCAGCAAATCATCAATGTGATCTGTTCCGTTCCGCTGACTTCGCCAGTCGTGCAATAATTCTTCGATCATTCAACTTTTGTGACAAATGTGCTACAACAGTGATTTTCGCTGAATGTGCTACATCAGTAACTTTTGTGCAACGTGCTACGGCAAAATTCTTCCCTCAGTGTTCGAAAGTAGTGAATTTTTTTCCCATGTGCTACAGGAGTGATTTCCTTTTTCCTTCGAAAGTGCCTTAGCAGTGTGAAGTGGTGATTTTGTGTGTGCGCAATACAAAATGAACGCATCATTTTTTTTTTT